GGGCGGGGGCGCCGGGCTGCAGCTGCAGGTGCTTGGGGCCGCGGCGGCGGCGGGGCCCCCGCTGCTGGTGGTCGCGGCGTACCTCAGCGCGCACTCGCTGGCGCTGTACCTTCGCGGCCTCTGGGGGTTCATGGCGGAGTGATGGGTTAGGCCGTATGTACCTGCGCAGCAGCGCCCAGTTTCCCGGCAGTTTTCCACCTCTGTGAGCGTGTAACATGCGGTTGGCGCGTGCTGTGCCAACAATATCCAGTCATCCGGTGGTGGGTCGAAATTTCTGGCTCGGCTCGACGCCCCAAGCGGCAGGAACTGGGCTTTGCGGCTCCCATGCTGCCGGCCACGCAGAGTCCTTGTCAGATCCTCCGTGGACGGCCCCGCTCCTGTCCGTGCCAGCGTGCGTGGTCTATGGCCTGGACTGCCTCCAGGGAGCTGGCCCCTGCTTGTGTGTAATTTCTCTTGGGAGGCCCGTGGAATCCATGGGAGTTTGCATGTGAGCCCGACCACGCAGTAAGCCCGCCTGCTTGTCTGCCCCAACTGCCGCATCTCGACGCACATGGTTCGCATGCGATACTCAGTACATCCATTGTTTGTATTGAATACATTTCTTTGCTTTAGATAACGTTTGCGTGTATTAAGTAGGAGAGGTCGACCCATGAACACCCATACCCATGTCTGAGTCGCAGAGCGAGCTAGGCAAGAGACAGAGGAGCTCGACGCAGGAATCTGAAGGATATTCTAGTAGGACGAAGATCGCTTGCACGCTCTCCGCGGAGCTCATGGAGCAGACTGGCGCCCAGGGGTAAGTACGAAAAACTCCCCGGCGGATGCAGAGTTTGCAGCCCTGAGCAGCATTTGAGTGCTTAAAAAGACAAAAAGACATGAGATACATACAATTTTGCAAAGTTCGAGCCATGCATGTCGACTGTGCACTGCCGTGCCTTCCGCCTGCTGCCTGTGCCTCCCACAAACCCCCCTCCGCAACCATTTCAATCAGCGTCACTGCCCCAAACACCACAGGCAGCTGGCTCACAGCAAGAGTTTGCCAGTCAAGCGCCAGGATTCCCTGCCTGTCGCCCTCCAGCCGGCGGCGGCGCAGCAGCTGCAGCTCGAGCAGCAGCTGCAGCAGCAGCCGCAACAGCAGCAGCAGCGGCAGCAAGCGCAGCAGCAACAGCAGCAGGCGGGTGCTGTGCAGCAGGTTTTGGGGGCCGCCAAATACGCATCTGTTGAAGACTTTATTAGCAAGGTTGAAATTTACAGGGGCCGCCACTCAGTTGTGTGGAACGTGGTGTGCAAGATGACGCGGCGGCCCCTCATCCTCAAGGGTTACATGAAGGTGAGTCGTCGTCAAACCCCCCTTATAATGCACTGCGCGAATGCGCATGCGACGTTGCAACGTCAACAATCCGTAAATATCCATCCGGCCGTGCGTGACTCCAGATCGGCCGGCTAGCCGGCAGGACGCCAGGCGCCTAACATTTGCACAGCCCCGTCCAACAGCAACTCGACGCCCAAGCCCGGCTCTGCGTGCCCCCGCATGCTCCGGTCCTGAATCCTTCCTCACCCCCACCGCCCCTAAGCACACGTGCGCCCTTGTGGCCGTCCCCCATCCCACCCCACGCAACCCGCCCTCTTCCCACCCACCCCCTCCGCAGGCGAAGATGACCGAGCGCAACTTCCACCAGGTCCGCCGCGAGATCCGGCTGATGCAGCAGATCCGCTACGAGGGGGCGGTCAAGATCCAGGGCACCTTTGAGGACGCCGGTGCGATCTACATCGTGCAGGAGGTCTGCGCCAAGGTGGGTTCCAAAGGGGGCCTTGGGACGATGGGAATGGGCCGTGCGCAAGAGGTTTGGGTGAGGGTGGCCAATCCAGAGGCGCGAGCCGTCCGCAAGGGCAGCCGTTCGGTCCCGGTTTGCGCCCACTTGGGGCAAAGAGCCGACGCGGCTGGGATGGGAAGTGGAGAAAGCGGTCCGCCCCCCGACCATGCGCCTCTGCCGGCCCTCCTGTCGCGGTGTCCGAAAAGGGGGATCTTTTCAAGAAGCTGATCCGCAACGGCGGCATGCTGGACGACAAGTACGTGGCGGCTGAGGTCATCCTGCCGCTGCTGCTGACGCTGGAGCACCTGCACTCAGTCAAGATCTACCACCGCGACATCAAGTGAGTCGTGCTGCGTGGGGGCGGGCGTCTCTAACAACAGGGTCAGGTGGAGGCCGGCAGCAGGGGCGTGGGAAGAATGAGCAGTGAGGCGGTGCAGAAAAGTTTCAAGCAATTGTGCTGCCCAGCTCAGCGCGTTGAGTGTGTGATGTCTCGAGAGGCTCTTTGCACAGGCCTGGGTGCAGCTGGCCCTGTTGAGTGGCGCCGGTGTCTCCGCATCTCACTTCCATTCTCACCCTCATCCTCACCCCCCATCCCGCACCCTACGCTACCATTACGCGGCAGGCCCGAGAACATCTTCTTCATGAAGGACGGCCACATGAAGCTCGGGGACTTTGGTGAGCGGGCCTTCTCCGGGTGACACCCAAGTGTCCGCACAGCTTCCCATCAGAGCCTGCCTCGGTTTGCAGCGACCGTAGCACGAGTCAAGCCAGCTGCTGTCAGCACAATCGCTGCGTGGATCCAGGTCCACATCGGGCCCCTGGTCTGATATCCATCCCACCCCTGCCGCTCCCACATCCTGCTTTAGGGCTGGCCATTGACGCCACGACGGAGCGCCCAAAGAGCCGCGTCGGCACGCTGGGTGAGCGTGAGGCTGGGGCCCAGGGGCACGCCGCAAAGAGGAACGCCTGTGTGGATGCACAAATGTGTTTTTTTCCAGAGAAGGGTGCTGTTCACTCGCAAGCTAGCACTGTAGCACAGAGGACGCCCCAAGCGCTGTCCAGCCAGGCAACTGACAGCACTCCTCCACGCTCTCCCTCTCCAACCCTTGTGGCCGGGAACTGAATTTTGCCGCAAAGACTACATGTCGCCAGAGGTGCGCATCTCACCCTCTCATCCGCCCTCACGCGCGGTTAGACCTAGACTGAGACGTGCGCCACATTGCAGCTTCCCCGCCTGCAGCCGCTTCCAGCACCAGGGCTGCTTGCTTGAGCACGCAAATGCTGGGCTGCAGGCGTCTCCTCCCTTCCCCACCACCGTACGCACACTCTGCACCTTCAAACGGTGCCCCCGTCCTGCACTCTGCCTGCCAGGTGGTGAGCCTGCCAACTGCGGACGAGCGCAAGCGCATGGAGCAGCAGGGCAAGCCGGTGATGGACCAGATCTACACGGAGAAGGTGGGTGTTTTTGGAGTTCAGGGTTTAGGGTTTGGCGCACGGGCCGCCCCCTTGCTCGCATAGCGGGCAGCGCGGCCATCGCTCCCAGGCGTCCTGCCTGTGCTGAACCGTGGTGCAAAGCCCCTCCGGCCTGATGTCCCCGGCTGGTCTCCTGGCCCCCGCTTTCCAGGTGGACATCTGGGCGGCCGGCATCCTGGCCTACGAGCTTCTTGTCGGACGGCCCCCATTCGAGGTCGCCGACGAGACCGAGACCCGCAAGCGCATCATGTACGAGACGACCCTCACCTTCCCGCCCCACGTCGGCCCAGACGCGATCAGCTTCATAAAGGTCGCCCTAGCCAAGAGCGCCGGCATGCGGCCCGACGCCGGGGAGCTGCTGCGCCACCCATGGCTGCGGCCCCACCTCGCGGCCGCGGTCGCCGCGCGCGGCTGGCTCGTGTCGGCGGCCGGCGCGCCGTCGGCGGC